GAGAGAGAGAGAGAGAGAGAGAGACAGACAGAGAGAGAGAGAGACAGAGAGAGAGAGAGACAGAGAGAGAGAGAGACAGAGAGAGAGAGAGAGAGAGAGAGTGAGTGCACTAGTGCATTAGCAGGAATGGACACAAGGGTGCCTTCACCACTTAGTCTCATCCCCAGTCTGTTTTCTTTTTTTTTACCCCCTTGAGACAGGCTCTCAATAAGTTGCTTAGGGCCATGATAAGTTCCCGAGGCTGGATTTGAACTTGAGATCCTCCTGCCTAAGCCTCCTGAGCCACTGGATTACAGGCATGCACCACCATGTCCAGCACAAGATGCTTCTTTTGCCTTTCCTGGGAGCAACATGGGATTCTGGGATGGGATATGAGGAGAGGCCAGGTTCACCAGGATTTCAGGCAGTCTGTGGAGTCTGTCTGTAGAGGGCAGCTACTGAAGTATTCCAGGCCTCCAAAGGGGTCATTATCACTTCTGAGTGACTCTACTGAACTCCTCTTTTCAGTAACTGAGTCCTTTGAGGGTTATAGGGTTCCAGGGAGGGGCACTCAACTTCTACTCACTGTCCCCTCTGTCCCAACTGTGACCTGCAGTGGCATCGGCAGGGGCTTGACTGCCACCTAGAGCACCAGAAGCAGGTACACACAGGAATGTAGGATGTACAGGAATTTAGGATCATCTGTGCTGGTTGATTTTATAAGCTGTTTCCAATTGTGTCAATAACTGCTTAGGAGATTTCAAGAGGAGTGATTAAAAGTTTTCGTTTGGAATCTGTTTGATGGGACCTGAACTAGGTACTTAAACATTAATTTTCATTCTGAGTACTCTTGAGGCAATACACATTTGCACACTGTGACACTCTACTGAGGGGGCTGGCTTTGTGGGTCCTGTCAAACACCAGCTTGACATGCTTGATTCTCTAATGATGTATTTGCTACAGTTCATATGGGATGCAGTTTGACATTAGGCCACTGTATATATGGGAAATTCTGGAATTTCACGTTGGCAAGACCCTCCCATAAATCCACAAGTGTTTCTTGTTTTCTGTCTGGAAGCAGCTTCACAGCTGGGCCTGGTGGCTGGTGGCAACGTGAGGGAAACTTACAGGTATGTTCTTATGACTGAAGGAAACTAGGGACAAATGGAGTGGGGTGACTATTCCAGGATGTTCTCTCGCTAAAGACCCTACATGTGTTTGTGTGCCCACACTCGTGTGTATGCAAAAGGAAGAAGAAATAGTCAAAGCTGCAGATCCCAACTCCCAGCTTGGAAGAAGAACCTGAGGGCTCAACTGTGCACCAGGCCCCACCAGGTGCTGGGAAATAGGCCATTTGCCTCCTGTCCTCCTGCCTACTGCTGAGTGTGGGGAAGTCCTCTTCAGTACCTCAGGGGTCTGGGAAAGGGAAACCTCAGAACTTGAGAACAGTGTCCCTTTGTTTGTGAAATACTACTAAACGTAGTTCCCAATGGGGGGAAAAATCTCATAAATGATGCAATGTCCACATTGGAATATTCCACAATGAATCATTCATATATATATGAACATATATTTAAATATAATCAAATATGTTAAATACATTTACATTTATATTTAAATGTACATAGTTATGTATGTAATGCACATGTTATGTATGTAAATGCACATATAGTTAAGATTCACTTTTTAAATATTAATTTCTTGGTGTAGATGGACACAACACAATGCATTTTTATTTTCTTATGTGGTGCTGAGGATCAAACCCATGCTAGGCAAGCGCTCTACTGCTGAGCCACAATCCCAGCCCCTAAAATGCACTTTTGAAATAATAATATTAGAAGTGGGGGTAGAGTAGAACTACTTGATGAGGGTTCAGGAGGAGTGAAAGGAAAGGGAAGGTTCTATGGAAGGAAATTGATCAATTATGTGCATATACAATTATGCATAAGGAGTCCCCCTATTATGTCTACTTATTAGTAAATAGTTAGGAAAAAATAGTTAAAAAATAATGTCCTTCCAGGGGAGTCTTTTGTATGCTACTTGGCATAATAAAGGCTTTCCAGCTATCACCCTGCTTTCCTAAGAGTTTATTCAACACTTTGGCTTTGATGGTATTGTTGTTTCTTTGGAGCAGTAGGATATCTAGGCAATAGCTGCTATAGGCCACGTGCACCACAAAAATGGAGGGCAGTGAACAGTTTGGAGCTAACAACATGAATGTTCAGTTGCCACCTTCCCATAAATCCTGAGAGTTGCCCTTTAGGGAATTTCTCAGACCAGGATTCACAGTGAACTTGTCAGCATGGCTGGAACTTGGCCCTCCATGAAGACACACTGTTCTCTTGCTAGAGACTTGGCCTGCCCCTCCTTGCACATGTAGAGGTCCCAAAGGGGCAGAGTGGGGATGACAATGGCCTGATGGGAGAGGGAACATAGATGAATGTATGGGTCAGTGTGGACCCCCATGAAACTTGGGAAAAGGTGAAGTGCAGGGCCTACTGATGGTGACCCAGGCATGTCACCGCAGGAAACCAGAACTCATTATTATGTTAAAATGTCCCTCCTGGAAAAAATTATACCACATTTTGCATATAAAACAAATATATTGATAATTCACTTCTTTATTCTAATATAAGTGCTGAGGAAATAAGTGCATTGTGGGCATCAACAGTAGCCCATATGTCAGTGACAACAGATAAACACATCAACAATCTGGTTCCGGAAGAAAGATGGCGGTCTAGGGCCCCTCCATCATGGCATCATCATCGTCCTGGGTAGGATGAGGTGCATTTCTCAGGGAGGTTTCCCTCAGAGTTTTCCTATGCTTGGCTCTCCTATACTTAAACCAAGCCTATGATCAGAAGGAAAAAGGGACTGGTTTAGTATATTGAAGTTAATGTCATAATGGTAAAAAACACATCATGCAGCCCTATAGGTCACTTGGATTTTTAAATTGCACAGCAGAAGCTTTTTTGTTTCTGGTGCTTTGGAATTTTGCAGTACTGGTAATTGAACTCCAGGCCTCACACCTCCTAGGCAAGGAAGGATATCACTGAGTGATATCCTGTCACCAGAAGCTATTTTTTAAAAAATATATTTTAGTTGCAGATGGACACAATACCTTTATTTTATTTATTTTTATGTAGTGCGGAGAATTGAACCCAGTGCCTCACACATGCTAGGCAAGAACTCTACCACTGAGCTACAACCCTAGCCCACCAGAAGCTATTTTCTTTTTTTTTTTTTTTAAGAGAGAGTGTGAGAGAGAGGGGGACAGAGAGAGAGAGAGAATTTCAACATTTATTTATTTTTTTCTTAGTTCTTGGCGGACACAACATCTTCGTTTGCACGTGGTGCTGAGGATCGAACCCGGGCCGCACGCATGCCAGGCAAGCCGCTACCGCTTGACCCATATCCCCAGCCCCGGAAGCTATTTTCTTATTACTCAAATACCTCAGGGGGCCTGGCTATAGCTCAGGAGGGGAGCACTTGCCTAGAGTGCAGGAGGACCTGGGTTCCACCCTTGGCACCACAAACAAAACCACCTTAGGAGACTAAACATCCTACCCACTCCTTCAGCTTATCCTTAGTGAGCACCAGCTCTGTGCCCTGCTCTGGAAGAGGCTGAGTTCTTTATTTTTCTCCTTCCAATTCTAATGTTCTCTACTGGTTTCTTGCAAGTTTGGATGCAGGTCTAACTTGTGAGTGGCTCCTGGTCCCTCATGCTAACTCTGCACCTGCTAACCACTGAAAAAGCACAGTCTGTATCCTGACAGCTGTCCATGGGCCATGCAGCTGCCTCCTGTTTCCTCACTAGGGATAGTTTCACTCTGTTTGTGGGGATGTTGGAATACCCCTCCCTGTTGAAAAACCCATCCTCAGTGTGAAGTCAATATTCAGTAGGAAGGGGTGTGTGAGACCTTTGACAGAGGGTTCCCTTCAGGGTGGCCCCTGGATCATTTACCTCTGAAACCTTTTGAGAACTGAAGGAGTATCTGCAAGGGAGGACCAGACACTGCTTTGACAAGGTTAAGGGACTTGAGAGCAACACAAGCCAATGTCAGTCTTGCCCCAGCAACCTGCCACAGCCTCCAAACCTCTCTGGAGACAGGACAAAATCAGCTCACAGTTTTAGCTACAGTTTCCAGATCCTGGACAGTGGTGCTATTGCCCAGCATGAAGGGGCACCCTAGGCTCCACTGTTCAACCAAGACATGCAAGAGCTGTCCCTGATTCCTAAGGCAAAAAGCTGCAACCATAATTGCAAATATTAAAATGCAAAAGGAAAACATTCTGTCAGGTGTCATTTCCTCTCAGTCTCCTACTTGATGAGTTTCCATTGTATTTAGTTCTTTGGTAATTTCTTCACTGCAAATGTAAATGACACAAATCGCCTCCCTGCCCTCACACCTCCTTCAGCTACATGAATATATAATTTAAAGAAGGCATGTGTAAGAAAGCTCAGGCCGAGGGGGATCCAAAAGGTCCCATCCCTCAAGTCTACATAAAGGTTACAATGGGGTAATTGTGTGAGCTGATATTAAGTGTGTATTCCCAAGACTGGTTTCCTAAAACACTTCTATTATATATGCAAAAGATATGGAGAAATTGTATGTTATGTTTCTCGGGAAATTCTCTCTGCAGATTTTGGACGTAGATGAGAACATCTGGGTTTTTTCCCCTCATTTGTCTCCTGTGGCTCAAGTTCCCTTTAGAATTACATAGAGGTGAGATATGTGACCCAGGGAGGGCAAAAGCAACTCACCATACCTTCAGATTTTCTCTTCTTCTGACTTTGCCTTATCACCCTACAAAACACTCCCAACCGCTTCCCAACTTCTCCCACCTGAACCAGGCTTGACTGTGGAGCCTGGCATGTGGCATTAGTACACCAGTGCTCAGTGGCTTGCTTTGTGGAGCTACTGTTCTGGGCACCTACCATCATGTCCACAGCCTGTTTCCATCACTGCACTCACACATGCACGCTGCAACAAAGGTAATAATAATATTAAGGTCATCCTGATATTTCTTTCCTTTGTTGTTGTTGTTTTGAATTCATCATTTTGGATTTTGGTCTTGGGCAGTCACTGTTTATTCTCATGACCTGACTATATTTTAGTCATCACTGACTAAAGGAATGAAAAATCTGTAATTAATACAGGTAGTTATCACCCTGAAAAGAAGGCCATACCCCAAACACATGCCTATTTCACAAAACCTAACTCTTTAAAATAGAACAACCAAAATAGAAAAATAAACCTTTCCATGTCAGAAAATATTCAAGATAAGATTTATATATTCATTTAATGTAGAATCTTCAAGGGGTATTTTGATCCCAGATAAATTTTTCTAACCCTTTCATCCATCTTAGCTTAAGTGAAATTAATTCAATATTATTCTTTTTGCTGGTTTCACTCTGTAGATAAATTTCCAAAGCTTTTGAAAACATCTGTTATATTCCATCCATGTATACTCCAACTATACTGTTAATATGTTTTGGCAATGTTTTTAGGTGGACACATCACAGTATCCTGGAAAATTATAATTAAAGGCTGTCACTCGCTATTACCTTACTCTAAATTGACAAAGATTTGATTTACATTAATACTGCAGGGAAAATATTGACCCTGATCTCTACAAGGCAGCCCCCCAACCTGCAGTCCAAAGGCAGGTGAAAACCCCAGTTACTTTTTGTTCAAGAGGTAAAGGCCAGGGCCCTGGATAGGAGAGAGTACCAGGTACTTGTGCTTTTCAGGTATGTCGTCATATCAGTCTCAGTTTAACTAATCATATATTAGTTACTTACAGAATATGTTCTATGGGTGAATTATTCCCCCTCATCCAAATATGTAGAAATCCACTCATTTAGGTAAGTGCTTATGCTTGGTTTAAATAACTTAGTACAAACCTGGTATAGTGGTGCACGTCTATAATCCCAGAGACTTGGGAAACTCAGGCACAATTGCGAGTTCAAGGCCAGCTTCAGCAACTTTTTTTTTCTTTTTTATAGTACTGGGGATTGAATCCAGGGGCATTTAACCACTAATCCACATTCCCAGCACTTTTATATATTTTATTTAGAGATAGGGTCTTGCTGAGTTGCTTAGGGCTTTGCTAAATTGCCGAGGCTGGCTTTGAACTCACTATCCTCCTGCCTCAGCCTCCCAAATCACTGGGATTATAGGCATGTGCTATCTAGTTTTGGCAACTTAATGAGACCTTACCTGAAAATTAAAAAAAATAGAAAGGGCTTTTTTTTTTCTTTTTATAGTACTGGGGATTGAATCCAGGGACATTTAACCACTAAGCCACATCCCCAGCATTTTTAAAATATTTTATTTAGAGATAGGGTCTTGCTGAGTTGCTTAGGGCTTTGCTAAATTGCTGAGGCTGGCTTTGAACTCACTATCCTCCTGCCTCAGCCTCCCAAATCACTGGGATTACAGGCATGTGCCATCTAGTTTTGGCAACTTAATGAGACCTTGTCTGAAAATTAAAAAAAAAAAAATAGAAAGGGCTCAGGCTGTAGCTCAGTGGTAAAGCTCCCCTGGGTTCAATCTTTAGTACTAAAACAAAACAAATTAGTACAATTCAAACATCTTAAAAACTTTCTCCTCCCTGCATCAATGTGAATACTTCCAAGGCAATCTGAGCGCAAATGTGAATCAGCACAGAAGTGCAGTTTAAAAGATATCCATGGTAGAAGGAATTGAACTTTATTTATCGAATATATCTCTGTATTATATATTTTTATAATTATTCAGATGCATATGTATATATTTAACATTGTACATAGAATTGTTTTGTTTTGTTTTCCTTTAGGAAATTACTTTCTCTTTGGCAATGGGAAAGAACAACAAATTGGAGTTTACTCACTTCATTTTCCACCAAAATTCAAAACTTGTTTGCAAATGTAAAAAGGACAATAAAACAATAAAAAACACTAACTTGAAATTTTCTAGCACAAAGCTGTGTATGCCCTAAAGTAGGTTTTCAAATGACTGTTCAGACAAATTGCTGTTTTCAGACTTACTGACCTGCACTTTGGTTTCAGCCACATAAACACGTCTTGCCAGCTCCCTTCTATGGAGAGAAAACCACAGATGTTTAGCATTGGGTGTTGTGGATGAAATAAAATATAATATACATTCTGTGCTTGTTTGAAATTTACAATCTCACCTCACAATTACCCAAGCATACTTTTCTGTAATTCTCTGGAAAAGTCTCACTTTAGAAATGGTTTGACCTTAACGGGGCACAGTGGCACATGCCTGTAATCCCAGCAGCAGGGGAGGCTGAGACCAGAAGGGAGGATCACAAATTCAAAGCAACTCAGTGAGACTTTGTGTCTCAATAAAATATGAAATAGGGCTGTGGTTATGGATTAGTGGTTGAGCGCCCCTGAGTTCAATCCCCAGTAACCCCCACCAAAAAAGAAATGGTTTTACCTCATCAAAAAATTAAAGGTGGGCTGGGGATGTAGCTCAATAGATAGAGTGTTTGCCTCGCATGCACAAGGCCCTGGGTTCAGACCCCAGCACCACCAAAAAATAAATAAACAAATAAAGGTGACTACTGTTCAGTAGTCCAAACAGATAAATTTCCCATGTTAAAAAATAAAAATTAATGCAAAAATCTATGAGGAACAAGTTATATAAATTTTAAGTACAGGAAGGCTATAGCACTGAAGTTGCATGATAGTAAGTCATTCTCCTAATCCTGATTCAAATAAAATATCATTTACAAAAGCAGACCTCTAGCACAGACAATAAAAGAAAAATCAAGTGGACTATATCAAAAGTAAAGACAAATCAAAATACATAATCAAGAGAGTGAAAAGGCAACCACACAATGGAAGAAAATATTTGAAAATTATATATTTGGTAAGGAATTTTTCAAAACAGTTCTGATAGTTCCATATACTAGAATATTACTCAGCCTCAGATATGAGGCTAACACATGCTACAACATGGATAAATCTTAAGGACATTACACAAAAAAATATAAGGCAATCACCAAGAGACAAATACCATAGAATCTCACTTATACGAAGCACTCAGAGTGATCGAATTCATAGGATAAAAAAGTAGAATACTGGTACTGGGCCCCGATCAGGACGAGAGGGTAGGGAAAGGAAGTTGTTTAATGGATTTAGAGTTTCATTTCAGCCAGATTAAGATGTTTTGAGGGTTCTGTCCCACCACAACATGTAAATACTTAACACTGCTTAGATCCACACGTCAAAAGTGGTTTAGATAATAAATTTCATGTTTTGTGTATTTTATTACAACTTTGAAACAAAACAACAACCAGCTACCAACTGATTTCCAGACTTAATTCATGTTAGTACCACATGAAAATGTTGACCCGATTCCCACAAGGCAAACCCCACAGAGCAGAAAGGCAGGTGAAGACCTGTGCTTAAGAGGGGCAAGGCAGGATGGGGGCCAGGTCAGAGGAAAGTTATCCCCAAAAGAACCTGGAGAATGACCCCCTCCCAAAGCCAGTCACTTACCTGCTGACCACATCAGGATATTGAGTAACTTGGAAAACACTCTCCAGTTCCTGCAGCTGCCATTGTGAGAACTTGTACTGGATTCGAGGACGCCTGCGCCGAGGCAGTGGAACCACTGAAGCCAATTCTTCCCTCTCCGCAGACTGCGCCTGTTGCCGGGGCTCCAGGCTAGTGCCATGGCGGATGAGGCCTACATCACCTTCTTGGATCATGCCACCCTCGTGCTTCTTGTTGTCGAAGAAGCCTACATCTTCACCAAAGTGGCCACTTCCGGCTGCTCCTGCCCTTGCGGCTTCCACTACTACACCTTGCTGATCTTCAACATTCATATCTACCTCACACATCCCTAGGCCATAGTATGTAGGGCCACAATACTGATCTTTGCGATCCATGGCCGTCGGCGCTAAAAAAGCTTCTACAACCGCAGTGCACTCTGGGAACACAGCCGGGGCCACAGCTTGGTGTTCCTCCTCGATCTGCAGCATTGTACTGGTTTCTAGGGTTCTGGGGTAACTTAGGTCCCTTGGATGATGCTCAGGCTCCCTTCCAAAGGATTGCTATTATCTCCCTGCTTATAACCTGTGCCTGTGAGTGGAACTTGCTTAGGCATTGCAAGTGATGAAATGTGGCCAAAAATAAGGGTCTTATGGAGAAAAAAGGTGCCAATAGGGGACGTGACAGAATGGGGTGACAAACATTCTACTTAATTGAATATTCCACCTCCTTCCCATCTAGGACCCTACAGAAGGGATAATGCTGGGTTGCAAGTTGATTTAGGGGTGGAGAAAAAGGGAGGAAGTGAGTTCCCACACTGACCACAGGACCCCTTAAGTGAGCATTTGGAGAACATCTCATCCCATCCTACATAATTCCCAACCTGTACATGGCTCAGGCTAGGAATTAATCTGACCTGATCCTCTAAGGAACAGCTTAACTCTCAGTTCCATCAAGAACACTGAAAGACAAACCCTTAAGGGAAGCAGCTGCACATTGGTGTTGCAATGCTAGAACTTGCTGGGTGTTGAGGCACACTCTACAAGAAGCCCCATTAGTCCCTTGAGAATGCCCAAATACTCCACAATTTTGATACTCAATTCACATTAAGTGTGAAACCCTGCTCAAATCTGATCACATCCTAGAATGCCTATACTGAGGTCCTTCCTGTTTCCTGTTGTAATAAGGATAAATGAGTTAATATTTTTTAAAAGCATTTAGAATAGTATCTTCACAGGAAGAAAAAAAATCAAAGGAGATGGAGAGAACTACTGCATTTCAGGAAAACTTATCTTGATCACAAGAGACATTAGTTTAATAAAATCTCCTTTTTCCTCTCTAAGATGCCTCTGTCTTCACAGTCTGTTGGCTTGACCCTTGAGACATAATATTTCTTAAAGCTTTCCCAAGCACACGATTATCATTAAGGAAAGCTACGAAATGTCCTAGAAAGAAAGATCAATTCAGCTCTGTCTGAGACACTTGTGATGCTCTGGTGTTTAGTGTTCAGAACTTGGAGATCAGAACTAGATGAAGAGTGTGAAAGATAAGGAGAAGAAACTTCAGGCAGGGATGCAGGGCAGAGAGAGAAAAGCATATGCAGGACTGACAATGAAGACTGTCAGGACAGAACAATGGTAGTTTAGGAGTGTTGGCTTCAGAAGTGCTTTCAATTAATTTCTTCTATTCCATGAAATGAAATTATTTGAAATGGGCTTCTCAGGCAATCTGCAAATTGGGAGCTGTGGCGTGAGTCTGTTCTGTAGACTTGATTTAGATGGCCAGTGCACTTTTTAATAAAATATGTTTCAGTTCATTGCTATTATTTAAGGAACTGAAGGTTTCATAAAAACGTTTTGATATTTGACCAACCTTGAAAAATGAGAAAATCTGGCAGTCTTGCCCCAGAATTCCTAGCCAGCAATACTGAGCTGGAACTGAATATTGGTTATCCCCTTTGCAAGAGGCATATTCTTCCACACTATGCCACACTCTCCACCTTGCTTGCTTCTCTCATTGATGTTACCTGCTTGGCCTTAGCAGCATTTGAATTTGCTACTCTGATAATTACAAGTGTTTAATTCCATCAAATGTCAGGCATATCAAGCAGAGAGAAAGACAAGATGAACCCCATGTTCCCATCACCCAGTTTCCACAATTACAAGATGAACCCCATGTTCCTGTCACCCAGTTTCCACAATTATTCCTAATCAGCCTGGTTTTATGAACACCCAAGAAATTCTTCAACACATTTGCATCTGCCTCTGGATTTCTGGGATGCAAATCTAAACATCATCGATTCATCAATAAATATTTCAGTGTGTATTTCTAAAAGAGCTGAATGTGTGCCTCCCAATCAGACCTCTTTTTTTAAGAGAGAGAGAATTATAAATATTTATTTTTTTTTAGTTTTCGGCAGACACAACATCTTTCTTTGTATTTGGTGCTGAGGATCGAACCCTGGCCGCACGCATGCCAGTGGAGCGTGCTACCGCTTGAGCCACATTCCCAGCCCTCAGACCTCTTTTTGTTATGCCATACGTGCCACGTCTTCTAGTGTGATAACAGGAGGGCTGTGTGTATGCATGAGTGAGAGAGTGTGTGTGTGTGTGTGTGTGTGTGTGTGTGTGTGTTTTACTGAAGCCAGAATTAGACAGGCAGTCAACATAGATAGGTAAATTGAGTTAGATCCTATCAAGGAGGCCAATTTTGAGTCTGGGAAGTTGGAGACTATCCCCTGAGGGATTGAAATGTTAATTCCTTGAGAGCCCTTCCTCCACCCTTATAAAAGAACCTGCCCTGCTCCAACCTGTTGCCAAGGTAACCTTTCTTAGGAATTGCCCCTCTCTACAGGGAGCTATAAAGTTGTTAATTAATGTGTCCCGGGCTGCACCTTCCCCCTTCAGCCCACCTGTTTCTCACCTTTTGGCCATCCCACCAAACATTCCTGGGCCTAGTCACATAGGCAGGAAGGAAAGAGATAGGGGGGAGGGCAGGATAACAAAGGAAGCCTGGGACATATAAAAAGGGCAGAACACCTCCTTTTGGGGATACCAGGATACCAGCTATGACCCCCTTCTCCCTCCCGGGATAAGTCTATGTTACCCCTTTTTAAATAAACTCTGCTTTATATGCTTGCCTCTGGGTGGTTCTCTAATGTTCAAACTTCAACTTGCTTGGATCCTACCCCACAACCAGGTTTCAAAACCCTTTCCCTATCCTGCAGGAAGCATGAAGTAAAAGCAATGAGGTAGAGGGCTGCTGCCTGTCCCCAGGCTGCCTTAGTTTCTGGCTGGCCATTCCTGTAACCATCTCTCTTAGTCCAAGGGGCCAGGAACTCTGGTACCAGAGTGACCTTCTGCTACTGCTACCGGAGCTGCTGTTCCTTGCTAATTTTTTTTTTCTCTCACAAAGTTTGAGACAGTATTTTGTCCTCCTTGTCTTCTAATAAAATCACCAAGTTCAAGGGAGCCAGGGTGGGGTGGGGGTGGGGATTGCATTTCTCTGGGAGTGAAAAGATAGAGAGCAATTAAAGGATTGGAGTCCTGGCTGGAGGAAGCCAAGTGCTAGGAAACTCACAGCAGGAGAGACAAAAAGACTTCCAGGTCGCTGGGAAAGGTAGCTTCCTGGAGTTCACTGGAGCATGAGTCATCATCCTTGCTCTGGCCATAAAGTTCTTCCCTGTCCTGGTAGACTCCCAGGCTACAGTAGATGGTATCATCAGTGGCTTCAGCTGTGCTGAGGCTCGGTGCCCTCAGTGCTGTGGTCAAGCTGTGTGCCTCCGCAGATTACGCAGAGACAGGAAGTGTACTAAGCATCCCTGTCTGATCATCTTGTGGTGACTTCTTCCAGTGTCAAGCATGCCTTGCTAATGTGGAAAGCCAAGGTAGAAATCTTAGTCAACCAACTATTGGCTTTTATGCATGTATTCACAAAGACCAGGCCATGACATAGGCACAAAGCATGTGAGAAGGCTGTGGACAAGGTGTGAGGGTGCTAGCCTGCACAATAGGGTCTCTCTGTTGCAGTGCAGATAACTGCACTCATCTTGGTCAGGAATCTGAGCTGAGAAAGGGACTTTTTTTTTTTTTGGCTGTGGGAGGAGGATATAAGAATGCCACACAGTGTCCCTTAAGCAAACTTTTATGCTGACCTTTTTTTAAAAAAAATATTTTTTAGTTGTTGAAGGACCTTTATTGTATTTATTGATAATGTGGTGCTGAGAATCAAACCCAGTGCCTCACACATACTATGCAAGCACTCTACCACTCAGTCACAACCCCAGCCCTCTGCTGACTTTTAACTCAGGCAGCCTTCCATATCCAGAGGCAATAATACACCAAAGGTAAGTAATTAAGTGGAAATCACTTGTTAGCTGGCAGCTTGCTTTCAGTGTTTGCGGTGATGGAGCTCTGGGAGTAGAATCTTAGGGCTGGGTTTGCCCAGCAGTTAGTTATAGGGATCTCAGATGTCCTGTGAAAGAAAGTTAAAGAACCTCTTGAGGAGTACAAACCAAGTACTCCAGGTTTGTAACAAGGAATTCAACACCTCATGGTGCAAGTGTAGACCCCTGCCCAGAGTTTAGTGCGTGGAGAATGCTCACACTGCCCACACTCTGGGTGCACATGCGTTCTGTGCTGTGCTTTACCCACGCACTTCTGGTTGCTGGTCCTCTACATTACCTCAGGTGTTCCCTGTGCTGGGCTTCTGCTGTGGACCAGGGTGAGATTCCACCCTTCCCCTGCCTCCTTCTCCTCCCACCTACCCTTTCTTTCTCTAGAAATATTGACCTGATTTCTTGTTGAGAAATAATCCAATTTGATTGCCAAATAACAGAGCACCAGGACAGATGGAGGGCGTGTGGCTCTTCTTTTAAACCATGATTTGTGGATGTTCTGGGAGGTGTATGTGTCCCGAATATTGAAAATGACTTCTAATAATGGGCTCTATGCTCGATATCATACTTTGATATTGATTTCTCCTGTCTTCCCCTTCGTAACCACCTTTATCTTCAGCACCATTTCAGGAAATAAAATAAAACCATTTTGAGGAGCCCTAAAGTATCATGGGGCTTAGGGACCTCACCTCCTCTTCCTCATGCATAAGTGGTCCCTGCCTCATGTTTCTGCAGTCTGGCTAAGAAATCTGCTTACAAAAACTGGTGACTGACCAGTTCACACCCCAAAAGAGGTCAAGGGCTGGCAGTCCCACAGCCTCTCTCTGACTGTCATGCAGGTGCCTCCTCCTGAGTCTGGTTCTTGCTGGATTCTGCCTCCTCCCACTGTCTTAGCTGCTCAGTCCATGATCCATTTGCAGCTTTGGATCAGTTGTGACATGAAAGACCTCCAGGGGTTGTAATAATGGTAGACTGGCTGGGACATGTGTGACAGCTCAGTGTTCCCTCACATCTCAGACCTGCATGGTGCACTCTGGAGTTATCTAACCTTCAGTCACCCTCAGGTGCCTTAGCTGTGTGTTACCTTTGTGTCAACCAGGCATGCTAGAATTCACCAGAATGTTTAAATTGAATCATAATGTACATTTGAAATGTGAATCACCCTTTCGGTGTGTTAATTACCCAATGGATGTCCATCCTAGGCAAAATTTGCTGCAAATCACATTCTGACATAGAGGTAAATGAGCAGGCCCTGTATGCCCTGTATCCAGTCTGGTGATATATCAATCCTGCTTCACTCTGTACTTGCTGCCTGGCTAATCTGGTGAGTGTCCTATTCTAACGTTGCCTGATTTTCTTTGGAGGTGGGGTACTGGGCATTGTATTCGGGGTGCTCTACCACTGAGCTACAACAACAGGCCCAATTTTTTTGTGGGGGGAATCCTGGGGATTGAACCCAAGGACACTTTACCACTCAGCTTTTTAATTTTTTACTTTGAAACAGGATCTTGCTAAACTGTTGAGGTTGGCCTTGAACTTGGGATCCTGCTGCCTAAGCCACCCAAGCCACAGGTATTGTGCTAAGTATTTGCTGAATATTAACTAATATATCTTTGCCACAACATGATCCTGCATAAGCAATCCAGTGTAAGCAACACCAGGCAGCGGCACCAGAGATCGAACCCAGGGACACTTAAGCACCCAACCACATTCCTAGCACTTATTTTTTTAATTTATATTTTGAGTCAGGGTCTCACTAAGTAGCTTAGGTCCTCACTGAGTTGCCAAGGCTGGCTTTGAACCTACCATCCTCCCGAGCTCCTCAGATTCCAGGCATGCAGCGCCACACCCGGGCCAGCCTGATAATTCTTGAATGTGCCCAGCACTACTCAAAGTTTTACACCTGGACTGTGTCATGGATTCGATACTGAAAATGGGCAGCATTTAGACTTCCTCAAGGGACTCAAAGGGTGTCCCACAGAGTGCGCCTCTTGACCCAGAATGCTTTGCGAACCAGGCCCAAGATGCCGCTGCAGCATTTCTGGGAGCCTGGCTTTGCTTGCAGTTTCCCTGTGGGAACTCTGAGCAAGCCACCCGCTAGTGGGTCAGGTCAAGTGAATTCCTCTCTCGTGCCACCTGGTGAATTCCAGATGGCACGGTGGTCCTGAGGTATTATTCTCCAGATGTCCACACAGGGGGACCTGTGGTTAGAATGAGCTCTCATCCTCTACAAAGTCCCTTTGGAAGGCCATTTGTAGCTCATTCGTGGTTAGTGATGTAAGAGGCCAATCTGGCCCCCATTCCGCACACGCCCCAGGTTGGCACAATTCTCCACACAGTCTTTCTTTGTGGTCCCGCCCCATTACTTCGCGCCTAGCTAGCTCCGCCCATCACAACTGGCGGCAATCATGCAGCCAATAGCAGTCCTCAAAAGAGTAGCGCGTGCACGTTGAACGTGCCGTAAACCCGTGGGCCAATACAAATCTCTAGGACTAGCTCCACCCTGAGTTACCGCTCTATTCTGTCCCTGGCCAAAGTGCGCTTGTAGAGGCCAGCTGGGACCTGTTGTATTGCAGCCATGGCAAACTGGTACCAGTACCGTGATCCCAACTATTATGGTCTGGGGGCTTATAATACAGAAATAGCAGCTGAAGCAGAGGAAAGTGTAGCAGCGGCAGCTGCAGAGGATGTACCGACCCCTGCTGCAGGTGGCCACTTCCGTGAAGGCGCTATAGGCCTCATGGAAGACGTGATTCAAAAAGGTTACCTCAACCACGAGGGCGCTGTTAACCACCGAGGCATTGACTACCTTGAGGCCAATGGTGGCAAGCAGCAGCCCATGCAGCAGCAGCAGCCCCGGCAGGAGCAACAGGCCGGACAGTCTGCAAACGAGACTGCTGCAGTTCCGCAGCCCGGGGGCACCCGTCCACGAATCCAATACAAATTCTCGAAGTGGCAGTTGCAGGAACTGGAAAGTGTTTTCCAAGTTACTCAATACCCTGACGTGGCTACCAGGTAGGTGACTGGCTTGAGTCTACAGTCTCCAGGGGTTCAGAATCTTTTGGGGGTCACTTTTCTCTCTCTGGCCCTTATTCTGCCCTACCCACCTTGAGCAAAAGCCCTTGGGCTCTTCACCTGCCTTTCTGCTCTGTGCGGGTTACCTTGTGGGATTCAGGTCAATTTTTTCATGCAGTATTGTCATGAATTAAGTCTGGACGTAGTTGGTGGCTGCTCCTTTTGGTTTTTGTTTTCAAATTGTGGTAAAATACAAAAACAAATTTAGCATCTAAACCACTTTTGAAGTTGGCCTTCAGCAGCCTTAAGTATTTGCACATTGTTGTGGGACAGAACTCCAGAAACATCCAAATGTGGACAAAATGAAACTCTGTACTATTAAACACCTCCCCTCCCCAGCGCCCTATAACTACCATTCTTTTTTATTCTATGAATTTGATTCCTCTGGGCACCTCATATAAGTGAAATCATGTAGCATTTGTCTCTTAGTGATTGCCTTATATCTTTTTGTGTAATGTCCTTAAGGTTTAATCATGTTGTAGCATGTGTTGGAATTTCCTTCCTTTTTAAGGCTGAGTAATATTCCATTATTATATGGATATATTCTTATTTTCCTTTTTTTTTTTTTTTTGGTACCAAGGATTGAACTCAGGGGTACTTAGCTGCTGAGCCATATACCCTCTCCTTTTTATTTATTTTGAGACTGGGTCTCAATAGATTATTTACAGCCTCACTTAGTTGCTAAGGGTATCTTTTAACTCACAATTCTCCTGCCTCAGTTTATTGAGCCACTAACATTACAGGTTTGCACCACTAGGCCAAGCTTATATTCCATTTGTTTAAGTGTTCATGTGGAGAAATAAATGGGGTGCTTTTGCACATGGCTCTTTTGAATAGGGCTGCTGTGAACGTAGGTGGACAAATGTCTCAAGTCCACATTTTCATTTCTTTGGGGTTTATACCAAGAAATAGTTTTTCTAGATCCCAATGAAAATTCTGTGTTTAATGTTTTTATACTTTTATGAGTATATCATAATGATACATAATAGTTTGCTTTTGACATAATCATACATGCATGAAATTTAATTTGCTTCATTTAAATTCCTAGTGCCCTCTTTTTAGCACCCCTGTTCCCTCCCTCTGTTAATGATTTTTTTAAAAAACAATTTTTTGTAGCTTTTCTTTTTTTATTTTTATGCAGTGCTAAGGATTGTATCCAGTGCCTCACACATGCTAGGCAAGTGCTTTGCCACTGTTACAACCCCAGCCCCTATGTTAATGTTTTTGAGTATTTTTTAATCTTTTATTTTTTTATGAGGTACTGAGGATCAAACCCAGTGCCTCATGCATGCTAGGCGGTGAGCACTCCACCACTGAGCCACAACCCCAGCCCTTTATGTTAATGTTTTGAGGAACCACCAGACTCCTTTTCCATAGTCACTTCATGATTTGATATTTCCACCAACAGTCCATGAGATTTCCAATTTCTTTGCAGGTCCTCACCAACCGAAGTTATTTTCTGTTTTTTTTTTCTTTTTAATATTATTTTAGTTGTAGATGGACACAATATCTTTATTTTTATTTGTTTTCATGTGGTACTGAGGATTAAGCCTAGTACCTCACACTTTCAAAGCAAGTGCTCTACCACTGAGCCACAACTCCAGCTCTTTCTGGGTTTTGATATTAGGTATCCTAATTAGTGTGAGATAATATCACTGTGGTTTTGATTTGTGTTTTCCTAGAGATTGGTGGTATTGAGCATCTTTTCATGGGCTTCATGATCATTTACATATCTTCTTTGGAGAAATACTTCAGTAAACCCTTTACCCATTTTTAAATCTGGGAGGGTTTTTTTGATTATGGAACTATCACCTATTTCTAAAAGTTACCCTCATCAGATATTATAGTTTGCAAATATTTTCTTCCATTCTGTGGTTGCCTTTTAACTCTCTTGGTTGTGTTGATTCACAGCCAATTTTATTTTTTACATAGTCCACTTTATCTATGTGACTTTTGTTGGCTGTTTTGGTGGCCTGCTTTTATAAGTGAAGTCTTTTTTTATTATCTTTATGTGGTGTTGAGGATCAAACTCAGTGCCTGGCGCATGCCAGGTGAGTGTGCTACCACTTGAGCCATATCCCCAGCCCATAAATGAAGTCTTATTGAAATAAGAATTAGGAGAATAAAGTCCTGTCATGCAGCTGCATTCCTATAGCATTATTGTATAGATAATTTGTATAACATGCTTATTATAGATTTTGTAGTCACTTTTATTCTTTAACACAGTGGGTTAAAATTATGTGCCTTGACCACTGAGCTTTTAGTGTCACCTTAAACTTTGTGATGAGGTAAACCCACTTTGTTTTTCTTTCTTTCTTTTTTAGGTGTAGAGGAACACATACCTTTATTTTATTTTAGGTGATGCTGAGGATCAAACCCAGTGCCTCATACATGCTAGGCAAGCACTCTACCACTGAGCCACAACACTAGCCAAAGATTATAATGCACATATTATATTGTATTTTATCCACAACACTGAATACTGAACATCTATTGTTTTCTCTCTACAGAAGAGAACTTGCAAGATGCATGAATGTGAGTGAAGCCAGAGTGCAGGTCAGTAAATCTGAGAAAAGCAATTTGTGAGGGCAGTCATTCTAAAACCTGCTTCATGATGTACACAGCTCTGACCTAGACATTTTTGTTAATTTTTAAAATATTTTTATTAGTGCATTATAATTATACATATGAGTAGGATTCATTTTGACATAACCAAACATGCAGATATTTTAAGTTGGTGTTATTTTAATTGTCTTTTGAAGTAGACTAATTTTGAAACTTTGGAGTTTGGATGAAAAATAGAATGATAAATGTGAGCTTGTAGTAATTTCCCATTACCACAGGGAATATTATTTCCTAATGGACAAAAAAAAAAATAAACCAAAAAACTACTTCTGCATTTCTGTGTACAAAATTAAATATATAAACTTTAAAAATATATAATTACATACATAATAAATATGTATAGGTATATATTTTAAAATAAAGTTCGGCTTTAACCCCAGGTATCTGTAAGATAGCATTTCTGTGAAGAGTAAGAATGGGCCTGGTCTGACCTTAGAAGTACTCAAATTTATGGTGAAAGGTCTAGAATTAAGAGAGGGAGAGAAGAGAATTAAGAGACTTGAACTAAATTATTTGAACCAAGTATAAGCACTGAGTTACCTGAATGAATGTATAAATGCTGTGGTGAGAGTAATTCATTGAAAGCACACACTCTGTGTGTAAGAAGCATAGGTTAACCTGAAACTGATGTGGGAAGCTACCTGAAAAGCAAAAGTGCCTAGTCCTCCTACTTGTGTTTGTACATATTGTTAAAGTAACAGAAAGTGGCAGCCCTCAATTTTAATTTTCTTGTATACTGTGACATATCTACCTGAAAACATTGCCAAAATGGTAATATTATGGTTACAATAGGGCTAAGGTTTGCAAAAGTTGGGAAATTTATCCAAAGAATGATCCAACAGGGGCTGAGTTTGTAGCTCAGTGGTAGAGTACTTGGCACGCATACGGAAGGCACTGGGTTCGATCCTCAGCACCACATAAAAATAAAATAAAGGTATCATGTCCATTTACAACAAAAAAATATTTAAAACAGAGTGACCCAACAAAAAGAATACTGAATTAATTTCACTTTATGTTTACGTAGACTTGAGGGATGGGACCTTTTGGATCCCCCTCAGCCTGAGCTTTCTTACACATGCCTTCTTTAAATTATATATTCATGTAGCTGAAGGAGGTGTAAGGGCAGGGAGGCCATTTGTGTCATTTACATTTGCAGTGAAGAAATTACCAAAGAACTAAATACAATGGAAACTCATCAAGTAGGAGACTGAGAGGAAATGACACCTGACAGAATGTTTTCCTTTTGCATTTTAATATTTGTAATTATGGTTGCAGCTTTTTGCCTTAGGAATCAGGGACAGCTCTTGCATATCTTGGTTGAACAGTGGGGCCTAGGGTGCCCCTTCATGCTGGGCAATTGCACCACTGTCCAGGATCTGGAAAGTGTAGCTAAAACTGTGAGCTAATTTTGTCCTGTCTCCAGAGAGGTTTGGAGGCTGTGGCAGGTTGCTGGGGCAAGACTGACATTGGCTTGTGTTGCTCTCAAGTCCCTTAACCTTGTCAAAGCAGTGTCTGGTCCTCCCTTGCAGATACTCCTTCAGTTCTCAAAAGGTTTCAGAGGTAAATGATCCAGGGGCCACCCTGAAGGGAACCCTCTGTCAAAGGTCTCACACACCCCTTCCTACTGAATATTGACTTCACACTGAGGATGGGTTTTTCAACAGGGAGGGGTATTCCAACATCCCCACAAACAGAGTGAAACTATCCCTAGTGAGGAAACAGGAGGCAGCTGCATGGCCCATGGACAGCTGTCAGGATACAGACTGTGCTTTTTCAGTGGTTAGCAGGTGCAGAGTTAGCATGAGGGACCAGGAGCCACTCACAAGTTAGACCTGCATCCAAACTTGCAAGAAACCAGTAGAGAACATTAGAATTGGAAGGAGAAAAATAAAGAACTCAGCCTCTTCCAGAGCAGGGCACAGAGCTGGTGCTCACTAAGGATAAGCTGAAGGAGTGGGTAGGATGTTTAGTCTCCTAAGGTGGTTTTGTTTGTGGTGCCAAGGGTGGAACCCAGGTCCTCCTGCACTCTAGGCAAGTGCTCCCCTCCTGAGCTATAGCCAGGCCCCCTGAGGTATTTGAGTAATAAGAAAATAGCTTCCGGGGCTGGGGATATGGGTCAAGCGGTAGCGGCTTGCCTGGCATGCGTGCGGCCCGGGTTCGATCCTCAGCACCACGTGCAAACGAAGATGTTGTGTCCGCCAAGAACTAAGAAAAAAATAAATAAATGTTGAAATTCTCTCTCTCTCTCTGTCCCCCTCTCTCTCACACTCTCTCTTAAAAAAAAAAAAAAAGAAAATAGCTTCTGGTGGGCTAGGGTTGTAGCTCAGTGGTAGAGTTCTTGCCTAGCATGTGTGAGGCACTGGGTTCAATTCTCCGCACTACATAAAAATAAATAAAATAAAGGTATTGTGTCCATCTGCAACTAAAATATATTTTTTAAAAAATAGCTTCTGGTGACAGGATATCACTCAGTGATATCCTTCCTTGCCTAGGAGGTGTGAGGCCTGGAGTTCAATTACCAGTACTGCAAAATTCCAAAGCACCAGAAACAAAAAAGCTTCTGCTGTGCAATTTAAAAATCCAAGTGACCTATAGGGCTGCATGATGTGTTTTTTACCATTATGACATTAACTTCAATATACTAAACCAGTCCCTTTTTCCTTCTGATCATAGGCTTGGTTTAAGTATAGGAGAGCCAAGCATAGGAAAACTCTGAGGGAAACCTCCCTGAGAAATGCACCTCATCCTACCCAGGACGATGATGATGCCATGATGGAGGGGCCCTAGACCGCCATCTTTCTTCCGGAACCAGATTGTTGATGTGTTTATCTGTTGTCACTGACATATGGGCTACTGTTGATGCCCACAATGCACTTATTTCCTCAGCACTTATATTAGAATAAAGAAGTGAATTATCAATATATTTGTTTTATATGCAAAATGTGGTATAATTTTTTCCAGGAGGGACATTTTAACATAATAATGAGTTCTGGTTTCCTGCGGTGACATGCCTGGGTCACCATCAGTAGGCCCTGCACTTCACCTTTTCCCAAGTTTCATGGGGGTCCACACTGACCCATACATTCATCTATGTTCCCTCTCCCATCAGGCCATTGTCATCCCCACTCTGCCCCTTTGGGACCTCTACATGTGCAAGGAGGGGCAGGCCAAGTCTCTAGCAAGAGAACAGTGTGTCTTCATGGAGGGCCAAGTTCCAGCCATGCTGACAAGTTCACTGTGAATCCTGGTCTGAGAAATTCCCTAAAGGGCAACTCTCAGGATTTATGGGAAGGTGGCAACTGAACATTCATGTTGTTAGCTCCAAACTGTTCACTGCCCTCCATTTTTGTGGTGCACGTGGCCTATAGCAGCTATTGCCTAGATATCCTACTGCTCCAAAGAAACAACAATACCATCAAAGCCAAAGTGTTGAATAAACTCTTAGGAAAGCAGGGTGATAGCTGGAAAGCCTTTATTATGCCAAGTAGCATACAAAAGACTCCCCTGGAAGGACATTATTTTTTAACTATTTTTTCCTAACTATTTACTAATAAGTAGACATAATAGGGGGACTCCTTATGCATAATTGTATATGCACATAATTGATCAATTTCCTTCCATAGAACCTTCCCTTTCCTTTCACTCCTCCTGAACCCTCATCAAGTAGTTCTACTCTACCCCCACTTCTAATATTATTATTTCAAAAGTGCATTTTAGGGGCTGGGATTGTGGCTCAGCAGTAGAGCGCTTGCCTAGCATGGGTTTGATCCTCAGCACCACATAAGAAAATAAAAATGCATTGTGTTGTGTCCATCTACACCAAGAAATTAATATTTAAAAAGTGAATCTTAACTATATGTGCATTTACATACATAACATGTGCATTACATACATAACTATGTACATTTAAATATAAATGTAAATGTATTTAACATATTTGATTATATTTAAATATATGTTCATATATATATGAATGATTCATTGTGGAATATTCCAATGTGGACATTGCATCATTTATGAGATTTTTCCCCCCATTGGGAACTACGTTTAGTAGTATTTCACAAACAAAGGGACACTGTTCTCAAGTTCTGAGGTTTCCCTTTCCCAGACCCCTGAGGTACTGAAGAGGACTTCCCCACACTCAGCAGTAGGCAGGAGGACAGGAGGCAAATGGCCTATTTCCCAGCACCTGGTGGGGCCTGGTGCACAGTTGAGCCCTCAGGTTCTTCTTCCAAGCTGGGAGTTGGGATCTGCAGCTTTGACTATTTCTTCTTCCTTTTGCATACACACGAGTGTGGGCACACAAACACATGTAGGGTCTTTAGCGAGAGAACATCCTGGAATAGTCACCCCACTCCATTTGTCCCTAGTTTCCTTCAGTCATAAGAACATACCTGTAAGTTTCCCTCACGTTGCCACCAGCCACCAGGCCCAGCTGTGAAGCTGCTTCCAGACAGAAAACAAGAAACACTTGTGGATTTATGGGAGGGTCTTGCCAACGTGAAATTCCAGAATTTCCCATATATACAGTGGCCTAATGTCAAACTGCATCCCATATGAACTGTAGCAAATACATCATTAGAGAATCAAGCATGTCAAGCTGGTGTTTGACAGGACCCACAAAGCCAGCCCCCTCAGTAGAGTGTCACAGTGTGCAAATGTGTATTGCCTCAAGAGTACTCAGAATGAAAATTAATGTTTAAGTACCTAGTTCAGGTCCCATCAAACAGATTCCAAACGAAAACTTTTAATCACTCCTCTTGAAATCTCCTAAGCAGTTATTGACACAATTGGAAACAGCTTATAAAATCAACCAGCACAGATGATCCTAAATTCCTGTACATCCTACATTCCTGTGTGTACCTGCTTCTGGTGCTCTAGGTGGCAGTCAAGCCCCTGCCGATGCCACTGCAGGTCACAGTTGGGACAGAGGGGACAGTGAGTAGAAGTTGAGTGCCCCTCCCTGGAACCCTATAACCCTCAAAGGACTCAGTTACTGAAAAGAGGAGTTCAGTAGAGTCACTCAGAAGTGATAATGACCCCTTTGGAGGCCTGGAATACTTCAGTAGCTGCCCTCTACAGACAGACTCCACAGACTGCCTGAAATCCTGGTGAACCTGGCCTCTCCTCATATCCCATCCCAGAATCCCATGTTGCTCCCAGGAAAGGCAAAAGAAGCATCTTGTGCTGGACATGGTGGTGCATGCCTGTAATCCAGTGGCTCAGGAGGCTTAGGCAGGAGGATCTCAAGTTCAAATCCAGCCTCGGGAACTTATCATGGCCCTAAGCAACTTATTGAGAGCCTGTCTCAAGGGGGTAAAAAAAAAGAAAACAGACTGGGGATGAGACTAAGTGGTGAAGGCACCCTTGTGTCCATTCCTGCTAATGCACTAGTGCACTCACTCTCTCTCTCTCTCTCTCTCTCTGTCTCTCTCTCTCTCTGTCTCTCTCTCTCTCTGTCTCTCTCTCTCTCTGTCTGTCTCTCTCTCTCTCTCTCTCTCTC